AAGGAACAAAAGAATCACATGGCTGGAAAACTTGAGGACGAAGAAAGCTTAAGGAATAAGCCTATTATATATCAACGTCTATGATTATAGTAGCTAGTAATTAATAATGTTAGAGGTAGAGGGCAGCCTAATTAGTATCGGGGAGAGGTGATCAGGCAGGATATGACGAGACTTCAGATTTCGAAAACAGTCTTCTCTACTCCTTCAGAGTAGGGGTAAGGTCTGCGTACACACTATCTTCCCCAGACCTCAGTAGTGAGATTTTACTGGGTTGTTATTGTGTAATTAATAATGTTAGAACGAACTTTTTGTACTTATGAGAAAAGAGACACATTCTACACTTGGTAGCGTAAATGAAGAATATACTACTTAAATAGAATGAGAATTGCCTTTACAGTCGTAGGACAATCTATTTTTGAACAAATTTCAGGAGATAAATTTTTAGTGAGGTACTCATTAGGGGTGTACATAGGTCGGGTTGGTTCGAATTTTATAATTACCAAACCAAACTAACTGTGTCCGATTATTAAATCAAAAGACCAAACCAAAGCAATAAAACTCGGGTTTTTCGCTCTCTGTTTTTCTCGAGTTTTCTTGGGTTTTCGGGTTTTTTTGGGTTTTTTTTCCCGGTAAAATCTTCGTAGAATAAAACATATAAATTATGCTCAAAATATTTTTTTAGTCCTAGTACGATACAACTATATAAAGTATTTTTCAAGAAAATAATACAAAATATGAGATATGTCATGACATTATCCTAAAATATTCACCAATAAAGACAATAAAATTATGTAACATAAATATTGCTAATTAAAAAGCCATAACAAAAACAAACATAATCTAAGAGTACTAAGTCATGCTAAAATAAGTAGACTAATAAGGGAGTATTAAATACATAATTAAACGCTAAAGAAAAAATAAAAATAGGTTATGCATTTTTATCTAAATTATTGCAAAACAAAAAATAGATATTCAATACATTCATGTTTGTAGTATTGAATTAAATGTCTTTTGTTAGCATTAATATTGATTTAATTTTGGTTTGGACTTTTGTTAGCACTATTTAATTTACTAATGTTAACGGCTTAAAACTTATTGGAACATTCAAAAGTTCTAAGTCCAACCTTGAAATACAACAACAACAACAACAACAACAACAACAACAACAACAACAACAACAACAACAACAACAACAACAACAACAACAACCCAGGAAAATCCCAGAAGTGGGGTCTGGGGAGGGTAGTATGTACGCAGACCTTACCCCTACCCCAAAGGGGTAGATAGGCTGTTTCCGAAAGACCCTCGGCTCAAGATAATAAGAAAAATAAGAAAAACAAAAGGGGAGAATATTAGTTTCACCATAGAGATCATAGAAAAATAGGAACCTAAAATACACAAGAAAAATACAAGGCAGAAATGATGGCTAGTAAATAGATCTAGCACCGAAAAGAGGAAATATTAAGACACGACAATGCCCCTAGTAATTTTCGATTAAAACATTACCAGACTAGGCTCACAATGGAACAAAGTAACGCAAGACTCAACTAGCTCCTAGCCTATAACTGTAATACTCGACCTCCACAAATTTCTATCAAGTGTCATGTCCTCGGAAATCTGAAGTCTCGCCATATCCTGCTTGATCACTTGAAATAATACCTCAAAAAATAAAATTATGAAATATTTTAAGAAATATTTATAAATTACATCACAATAAGTATATTTATATATTAAATATATCTAAAATTTCTATATATGTAATGTCGGGTTGGTTTGGTTTCGGTTTGACTTTCTTTAGTTAGAACCAAACCAAACGAATTATAGTCGGATTTTTTTTCCAACACCAAACCTAATCAAACCAACCCATAGTCGGGGTTTTTTTTCCGCTTTGACTCGAATTATCGGATTGATGCGGTTTGTCGGTTTCCTTTGTACACCCCTAGTACTCGTAATTGGCTGTGTTTTTTCTTTGGAGGAAATTTAGAATGAATACATCCACATAAGATAAATTCCTCCAAAGGAAAACGCAATCCAGAAGATAAATTGTAAAAAATCCTCCAAAGATAAATTTTATACTTACGTACAATAACAGCTATACCTCTGTCGCAAATAAGTTGTGGTCGGCGATACGAATTCTCATAAAAATTAGATAGCAGATAACCAAAAATACGGGTAGAAAAAAAAAAGGTTTTGTGTTGGAGGGTTGGTTCAGGCCTGCTCGTACGTATTTTAACTTATAACTTATTTTGATCTAGGCAAACTTTCGACGGAATGTATTACGAATAGGGGTATACATAGGTCGGGTTGGTTCAGATTTTACAATTACGTACCAAACCAACCCAACTGTGTCGGATTATCAAATCTAAAAAACAAACCATACTAATAAAATTTGAGTTTTTCAATCTCGGTTTTTCGGGTTATTCGGGTTTTTTCGGATTTTTTTCCGGTAAAATCTTTATAGCACAAAACATATAACTTGTGCTCAAAATATTTCTTTAATCCTAGTAAGATACAATTATATAAGGTATTTTCTAAGAAATAATACAAAATATGAGATGTGTCATGGCATTATCCTAGAATATTCAACAATAAAAACAATATAATTATGTAATATAAATATTGCAAATTAAAAAGTCATAATAAAAATAAACATAATCTAAAACAACTAAGTCATGCTAAAATAAGTAGACTAATAAGGGAGTACTAATTACATGACTAAACGCTAAAGAAAAAGTAAAAATAGGTTATGCATTTTTATCTAAATTATTGCAAAACAAAAAATAGATATTCAATACATTGTCGTTCGTTGTATTGAATTAAATATCTTTTTTAGTATTAGTATTGATTTGATTTTGTTGGGTTTTTGTTAGCATTATTTAAGTTGCTAATATTAATGGTTATAAAACTTATTGGAACGTTCAAAAGCTCTAAGTCCAACCTTGAAATAATACCTTAAAAGATAAAATTATGAGAAAGTTTAAGAAATATTTATAAATTACATCGCAATAAGTATATTTATATATTAAGTATATCTAAAATTTCTATATATGTAATATCGGGTTGGTTTGGTTTCGGTTTGACTTTCTTTAGTTAAAACTAAACCAAACCAATTATGGTCACGTATTTTTTTTCAATACCAAATCAAATCAAACCAAATCATAACTGGTCTTTTTTCTCAGTTTGTCACAAATTATCGGGTTGGTGCGATTTGTCGATTTCATCTGTACACTCCTAATTACGAATATTCGTATGTTAACTCAATTAATTGTTACTCTTTCGACTCAACGCATTCATTTGATGCCCTAACGTTTCTACACCTGCCAATAAAATTGCTTGAAGTTGTTCATTTTATTTATTTACTGTTCTGTTCATCTCAAACAAATGGTATCTAGTAGCATTTCTATATTACATTTACGCGTTAATCTGGTGTCTAGTTGTATTTCTATATTAATTATAGTAGCTTTATGGATCCCAAATCCATATTAAGCTGGATCAAAGTTATTGAATGACTTTTGACGACTTATAACATAGTGCTATAGCCTGGCTCTAATTAGTGTGTTGACTTCAGAACAAGTTATATATAGTTTTGATTAAATTACTAATTAGTGTTTATATTGGATCAACAACTAGCGAGTCAGTCAAATTAGTTTTTATCAAATGGAAACTATTTATTTCCATACTTTTTTGTCGCATTTATCTCTTAGAGGTCAGATTAAATTTTTGCGTACATCTATTCTAGCATGTATGCCAAAGTTGCCGACTAAGAAATTGACAAATTTGGGTCGCTATTTGTCACTCTTTGACGGAATGTTGAAAGTTTACTCGACTACTAAATGACAAATGATAAACTAAATGAAATATATTACTCCTATTAGTTCATATAGAAGATAAATGAGTAGTATTTTTTTAATGTTTATTCAAATCTTTTTTAATCAAACCAATTTTAACTGTAGAAAAGTTAAATATGTACAGAAATAAGCAAAGAGCTTCATTTCTGTCTGATTTTTTCCTTAATGGCATATTCAAAGGCTCAAATGTCTTCAATAACGCAACCGAACAATGAGGAATTCATCTTCCACCCCTTAAAATTTATGTAATATTACAAAGAAAAAATTACTAATAATATTTATTCCTGCCTTGCTGGCTATCAATAACACACCCTTAAATTCACTTAAGTCTAATTGCTGTAAGGTTGAGAACTGAGAATGAGTAATAATATCATAACAATTCTCGTCATGTCAGAGCAAAAAGTTCACTATTTAAGCACAACATTAGACTACCTATGGTAGCAAAGTTCACAGATTGCCATATTCTAATAGATCAAACAACACTACCGTCCAATAAAAAGTAAGCAGGTAGCTAAGTTCACATGAAAGTACACCCAATGACCTTGAAAATGGACGGTCTTGAGTTTTTGACCCTTGCTTGCTCCATGAGTAAACTTTAAGATCAAAAGTGTTGCCTATGGGGCAAACGATGAGCAACACTTGTTAAATTTAAAGTTCTGTCCATGAGACAAATGGGGTCAAAAAATCAAGGTCACACATTTTTAAGGCCATTCTTGCAAATCACTCGATCAGAACTCATTCGTCAACATATTATGTTTCTGAAAATTTCACGTATGGTTTCATTTTGAACAAATAGTTTCTAGAATAGGAATATATCGAAGGTACTCACAGAATTAAAGCACCATATTATTCTATATATTAGGAAAAGAATAGCACTGAATGCCGTGTTTCAACTACTTTTGACAGGGAAACTGTAGTAATGGATAACTCATATACTGTATTCATATTGGAGTGTCCTGCCCAACTTGCATTTACTTTGATTTGAGATATTGGCTCGTGAACATCCCTTGGACTCTAGTCAATGCGCGTTTGGCACACAATTTTTGTCATTTTTGTTGTAACATTATCATCTTTCTTTTCTTATTTCCCTCTTCTGGTTTGTTTATGAGAATAAAGATTCTCTTTATTTATGACTTCTCAGTACCTAACCTTTAAACACTTTATGAAAATAAATAAATTACCTTACCATTGAAACCTACAAAAAACCATTAGTTTTAGCCAATTTTAAGGTGTATCAAAGTGAAATTGCTTCTTTACTCACAATTCTCTCCAGCTTGTCCTTCTCAGGAAATGAATAAACTGAACTCAACTTCCAGGACATTTCTGCCCCATGTTCCACTTCTAGAAAAAAAGTTGACTTAATGTAATGTGAATGCACAATGTGAGTTTACTATTTATTTGGTGGTCAGGAAGCTTGATATTTTTAATATACTCCTAGGTTTTGAGTAGGTGTAGTTCTTGCTTTCTTTTACTGTATGGGGGCACAGGCAACTTGTTCTCTAACATGGGACATCCTAGATTAGAGGCCTACTTGGTATTTTCTTACAGATTCATAGAATGCACGTCATTGTCCTTAGTTTTGACGACTGGTTGACTTGTATAGCAGTGAATGACGATTCTAGAATAAGTGTATAAAGTCTTCAGTTTCAGCTTAAGTTTTTTCATTGAGTGAAGCTTCTTCTTTTGAACCAACAATGTCAAAGACAGTTTTATATGCATTAGCCATATTTTCCTTTACCTTTTTCATACCTTTGTCATATGGCCAAACTCCAAGCTTGGAAATTGAAGTTGCTGCTTTGAAAGCTTTCAAGAACTCAATCTCTGATGACCCTTTTGGTGCACTTGTGGATTGGACTAATGCAAATCACCATTGCAACTGGTCTGGAATTACATGTGATCCTTCTTCAAACCATGTCATCAACATTACGCTGTTTGAGACGCAGCTCAAAGGCGAAATCTCTCCGTTTTTGGGAAACCTCTCCAAACTCCAGGTTCTTGATCTAACTTTGAACTCATTTACTGGAAATATTCCACCTCAGCTGGGGCATTGCACAGAGCTGGTTGAGCTCATTCTTTATGAAAACTTGCTTTCTGGTGAAATTCCTGCTGAACTCGGAAACCTCAGAAACCTGCAGTTAATAGATTTTGGAAATAACTTTCTGAATGGGAGTATACCTGACAGTATATGCGACTGCACTGAATTGTTGTTAGTAAGCCTCATCAACAACAGTTTCACAGGCAAATTACCATCTGATATTGGTAATTTGGCTAATCTTCAGTTGTTTGTAGCTTATGAAAACAATTTCATTGGTTCTATTCCTACCTCCATTAGAAAGTTAACAGCTTTGCAAACCCTTGATCTGAGCGAAAACCGATTGTCTGGACCTATACCACCAGAAATTGGCAACTTGTCAAGTTTAGAAACTCTTCAGTTGCATCTCAACTTCCTTTCTGGTAAAATTCCATCTGAACTTGGCCTCTGCACCAATCTTGTTACCTTGAACATGTATACTAATCAATTCACTGGAAGCATACCTCCTGAGCTTGGAAATTTAGAAAACTTGCAAACGCTTAGATTGTATAACAATCAGTTGAACTCCAGTATACCAGCCTCATTGTTCCACCTTAAGTCATTAACTCATTTAGGACTCTCACAGAATGAGCTAACTGGCCAAATTCCTCCCGAGTTGGGATCTTCAATGTCACTACAAGTGCTTACCCTCCACTCAAATAGGTTGTCCGGGGAAATTCCATCAACTATAACAAAACTGACAAACTTGACATATTTGTCTTTGAGCTTCAATTTATTGACCGGATCACTTCCATTAGAATTTGGGTTGCTCTATAACCTGAAGAATCTAACTGCAAGTAACAACCTCCTAGAGGGATCTATTCCATCTAGCATAACAAATTGTTCACATCTTCTAGTTTTGACCCTCACTTATAATAGAATAACGGGGGAAATACCCATTGGGTTGGGGCAGTTGTCCAATCTTACATTTTTGTCTTTGGGATCAAACAAAATGGTGGGGGAGATTCCTGACGATTTCTTCAACTGCTCAATGCTTGAAGTTCTAGATCTGAGTGATAACAATTTCAGTGGGAAACTCAAACCGATGATTGGCAGACTTTCTAAACTTCGAGTTCTAAGAGCCCGTACTAATTCCTTTCTTGGGCCAATCCCACCAGAGATTGGTAAACTGAGTCAACTGATGGATTTAGTGCTTGACGAAAACAGTTTCTCAGGTGTGATACCACCAGATATTTCAATGCTTTCAGACCTCCAGGGTCTTTCGCTGTATGACAACAAGCTGGAAGGTAAACTTCCGGTGCAACTTTTTGAGCTTAAACAACTCAATGAACTCCGGCTGCAGAACAATAATTTCTTAGGTCCAATACCTCACCAGATATCCAAAATGGAGTTACTCTCGTTGCTGGATCTGAGCGGGAATAAGCTTAATGGTACACTCCCAGAGAGCATGGCGAGCCTCCGCAGACTGATGACCTTAGATCTTTCACACAACCTTCTTACTGGATCTCTTCCTCGAGCAGTACTAGCCAGCATGAGAAGTATGCAATTTTACTTGAACGTTTCCAGCAATTTTTTGAACGGAACGATCCCAGATGAGATTGGCGTGTTAGAAATGGTTCAAGAGATTGATATGTCAAACAACAATCTATCAGGCAGCATTCCCAGATCCTTTGGACGATGCAAAAACTTATTCTCACTGGACCTATCAGGAAACATGCTCTCTGGTCCTGCTCCAGGTGCAATTCTCACCAAATTAAGTGAGCTTGTGTTTCTGAATCTCTCAAAGAACAGATTACAAAGCGAACTTCCTGAAATGGCAGGATTGCCACATCTTCGCTCTGTTGATCTTTCACATAACAAGTTCAAGGGAATCATTCCAGAGAGATTTGCCAGTATGCCTGCATTGAAATATCTCAACCTTTCTTTCAACCAACTTGAAGGTCACATTCCAAAGGGGGGTGTATTTAACAATATAAAGTTGGAAGATTTATTGGGAAATCCATCTCTATGTGGAACTAAGTTTCTCAGGCCTTGCAGCACCAAAAGCATCCGAACAGGTACTCACGGGTTTTCCAAGAAAACCTTGATCATTCTTGCAGCACTTGGATCTGTTTTTGGTCTCATTCTTCTCGTGTTGGGAGTCTTTTTTCTTAATCAGTACATGAAGAAGCAAAAGGTGAAAGACACGGAGGATATGATTCCAAAGTACGCCTCAGCACTGAGCCTCAAGAGATTTTATCAAAAGGATTTGGAACTTGCTACTGATAATTTCA